GTGAGTGGTGGTCCTCTAACAAGAACATCTCTACTATTGTACACCAGTCTCCCTTGGCTCCTGGTTTTAATCACTCAGTGTCTTCTTGATGGCCTTCCATATTCCTTTGGAAAGCTATTCTCCTTCACTCTTACCATTCTAGGACCCATCTTTTCCAAGAGGACTTCTCAAGGGCTGGGGATATTGTTCAGTTAGTAGACTGCTTTCTTAGCATACACAAAGCCCTGTGTTCAATCCCCATCATAGCCAAACTAGGGGATGAGGTACACAGCTTTTTTCCCCAGCACTCTGAAGATAGAAGCAAGAATTTCAAAAGTTCAAAGTCATCCTCCACTACACAGCAAGTTTGATGCCAGCCTAGAGTACACAAAAGCATGTCTCAACAGGCATATACATGCAATGCCTCTTGAATCCTTCTACTTTTCTCACCATCTTCTCCCTAAAAGTCATCTTCAGTTAATATTAGATATTCAAATGCCTGTATCAAAATTATCTTGTAGGTTTAGATTGAAGTCATCAACTAAATTGCATCCTTCTTCAAGATATTATAAACATTCTCATGCTGCTAGTGCCTTGTACATATTAAGCACCCCATAAATATCTGCTGAGTGGCACAAGGAACACGATAAACTTAATAGGTGAAATTTCTAAAATAAATTACTAGCGCATACTAGACCTAACAGACGAGTGTATCAAATCCCATATAAGAGACTTAAAAGGCTATTGACCTGTGAGTGAGCCCTGAAGCAGAACCAGGAAGCGAGGGTCACAGAAAAACCTGGATATGACCCTCTACACACCAGAAACAAGCCCTGCCTTCTCTTCAGAACCCTGAAGCACCAGCAGAGCTCTTGTCTGCTTAAGTCCACCAGGATCATCTATGTCTTTCCCTTTGGTCAGCTTTACCAGAAGAAACACCTAAGTTACAAGGAGGAATAGGACAAGGAATAGTTGATTTGCAAAGTTAAGTTTACAGCCACGGCTTGCTAATAAAAATCTAAAGAACTCTGAAAAGCACCATAGCTGGTACACCAGCACACAATATTAGTACCAGACTGCCAGAATTTCCCATTTATACTTTGATTGCTAGAAGTCACTTTGTTTGAACCAAAAAAAAAAAAAAAAGGTATGACTGTCAAGTGGGTAGCATGTACATACAACCCCAGCACTGGGGAAGCTGGGGCAGGAGAACTTTGCTGAGTATGCAAATCCAGCCTGTGCTGTGGAACAAGACCTTGCCCACCATCCAAAACTAAAACAAACAACACATCTAGAGGTTGTTTGCCCTCATCTCAACACGCAAAGAACACCCAAACATGCAATACTGTTTCTAGATGGTACTTCTGCCTCTTAACTGTGTAATGAGAACACACCGTTCAACTTTAGCCTCCTCACCTACCCTCTTATCTTCTATCATGAGACTCTTTGTAATCATACACTTGAACTTCAGGGCACAATTACTCAAGACAAGTGTCCCTGCAGAATATGCAACTACCTCAGCCTTATAACACGTGGGAGAGGCCAAACTGCCCTCTGAGCTTCCATCTTTCTTAAATAAAAATCTAACCACTGCAAAGAATAAGCATAAAATTGCAGGCAGCCATTAGGCTTATTACTTTTAGTCCTGTGTCTGTAAAACCATAGCTGGCCTGGAAGTGTTTATATCAAAATATTCCATTATCACTTAGGAGCTTCTTCAGGGAAGACAGGGAGGGAGGGGGGGAGGGAAGGAGGAAGGGAAGGAGGGGGGGCTGGGACAGAGGGAAGGAGGAAGGGAGGAAGGGAAGAAGCAAGCAAGCCGAAGCCACCAAGAAGTTACTAAGGACAAAATCTTGGGGTCAGTGTTCCAGTGCACAACTTAAGCAGTATGTGATCCCACAGTCTGCCCGAAATGGTTCTAAACTGGTGTAAGTTGTAAGCCTAACTGTCCAAGCCAATAACTCTGGTTTCTTATCATAACATCAGACCAGGAGCCTCCTTGATAATTCATGCCAGAGATTATTTTCAGTTATAAACACAAGTACGTATTTAGAGTAACTCTTGGTGTCTGTGCTAATTCTTAACACGTACATGCTCCTAACACACATTTCCATCCAAGTTCATACTTTAACTTGCTTCCTCGTTAAGTCTTCACATCTCTTGGTGACAGTTCAGTAAATCTTCCAAATTTAGTGTAGTGGAACATCAGAAACTCTAACAGTCACTACAAGTTTAGGTTCTAACTGTCCAATGTGGACACATCATGTTAGCAGCCAATATATACATGCATTTTGCCCCCCCCACACACACAAAGGCAAACATTCTGACTTATATATCTGTTACATGGTTTTAACGGGTTTATTAACATGTTCTCTAAAAAGAGAAAAAAGCTTCTGAAAATGTGACCAGACAGAATATGTAATACTAGAGAACTGCTAATTTACTGAGGAGAGACAATGGTACTGTGGGGATTTCTAAAGTAATCTGAATCATTTATACTAGAGATTTACACAGAATTATTCACAGGTGCCATCAGGGCCAGTCTGAAGACAGAGAGGGAGCTCAGTGAACTACGGAAGCAACCACATTTGAACCGCTATACACATTTGAACCGCTATAGTCATTAGACCTGGGTGCTGAATGCACTGGACTTCATTCTACTGTCCTGTCTACTTTCTCATCAGAATTTAAAATATTTTTTATATCAATGCACCACTATGTATGTGATACTATGGTAAAACATGGGAGTATCATTGCATTGGGCAAACCAAACTAACCTAAGCTTTAAATCTAGAAAACCAGTTGAGACAGCAATAGCACAGAAAGAAATGGTATTCAAGGTACATTTTGAACTTGGTGTCCTTTAAAAATTTTTTAAGTTTTAAAGCTCAAAACAAAAACTGGAACAGGCATGTTTTTGTCAGAAGGTAAAGTCAAACAGTTACTTAAACGAGATACAAAACAAATGGGTAACTTACTTCCATCTCTACCTGGCCTTCAACAATGATGTGAGGAGACAGAGGCCCCTCTTGCTGGCTAAGGGGGGCCCACCCAGCAGGGCACGGCAACCACCCAGAAAGCAGAACCACTTCTAAGCAGCATTTACAAGTTCTTTCCTTCACCAACCAGACACACTCATGGTGTGCCAAATCCCAGGCAGCATTCTCTTAGGATACATGATGGCATTTCAATTCCCATTTTAAAGCAAGAAAAGAGGTCACACTACAGTACCCATCCACCTTTGCAAAGTGAAAAAAAAAAAAAAACAGTTATAATCATCCCAAGTGGTGACACACTCAACACTTAAAAAGCCCAGAGAGGACAAACTCTAAAACCAGTGATTAACCCAAGTGCTAGAATCAAAATCTCTGGCCACCACCAATGCCACTGTCACTGTCCCTTCCTCCCCAACCAGTAGCTACTGGCCACTGGCCACCACCATCACCCCCATCGCAAGCACTTTGCCAAAGTGAACAACTCTGACAGGAAGACTGCCTTTTTAAAAAAACACTCCAACTTGACAGTCAAACCCACATCTAGAATAGACAACCTAAATCTGTCCAGTCAGTAGTGCATGTGAGAGTCTCATTCACAAAGCTTGCTTAGGCACCTCTGAAACAATACCAGAATAACAACCCCCAAAATAAATAAATAAATAAACGGAAAAGTTTCCCCAAATCCTTATGTCAGGTGCAATGAAAGGCTAGAAACCAACTCTGTATCTTGGTTTTGTGCTGGATCAACCCAGCAGAATCTCAAAACCCTCCTGTGTGTGATTGTGTGTCTTGAGGGTGGGGAAAGGGAAGTAGAGGAGGAAAGAAAGCAGTTAAATTCATAGAAACCAGTGACCAATCCTAGCATCAAATCAGATCTGCCCAGCCTAAGACAGTTTTCTGTGACCCCTGGACCTGCTCCCTCCATCCAACAAATAACACAAACACACACCCCAGGAGCCTCTTAGCAGGCAGGAAAATGTGCATTTGAAAACCAAGGCGGCCTGCAGGTGCCTAAGGGATAAAGAAAGACACACACACACACACACACACACACACAAAGCCAATCACTGGGGGGGGGCATACAAAAACCGAAAAGGAGAGGAACAATTGGTGACAAGCCCTTCAGCAGTCAGCTAGGATTTCATTCTTGCCTCCTTCCAGCTCTCCCTGGTGTACCTTCTTCTGTCCTTCAACTAAATTGCTCGTGTACACAGACGCACACACACACCACACCAATGTATGTGTGTGTAGAATGTTGCCATTAACCCCTTCTCCAATACAGCCCCCATGCAAAATACAGAAAGATATCCATCCTTTCCTCTTCTCCCCTCCTCCCTCCTTTCTCCCAACAAGAAGAAAACGCCCCCCTTCCCCAGCTTCACCAGAAAAGGGGAGGGGGTGCAGGAAAGCCACAAAACCCTATCAGTCTGTGGTTCCCCAGGACATCCAGAAAAGGCATGTATGAGACAGACTGACACAGAGCATACACCACGCACACGCACACACACACGCACACGCACACACACACACACACACACACGAGCGCTTGGGGACATACGCCTCTGTGGAAAGCACAGAGAACCGTCCACAGGCGCCCCAAACCCAAGCAAAGACTTCCACCAGCCAAGAAGCCATGATTAGGGAGGGAGACGAGAGGAAAGGAGTGGGGGCGAGCCATCCACGGAGAAGGGGGCGCATTGTTGTGATGCCCGAACCCCTTTCTTCCCACCCATCTGCTGTGGCAGGAGGTGGGGGTGCGGGAGGGGGCGCAGGGGAAAGGCAAGCTGGACAAGAACGAAACCAGTTGACGACCAGATCAGGCACACCGCTTGGCAATTCCTTCCTGGCCGCCTATCTGCCCCCAGCTCCCCCCCCACACAACCCCACACCCAACAATAAGACCTCGGGCGAGACACACAGCTTCGAGCGCGGCGGGGGAGGCAAGAAAACCGGGGTGCAGCCGAGTGGGGGTGTCATGCATAAAAGGAAAACACGGGGGGAACGGGAAAGGGGTCCCCCCCTTACCTCCAGCGCTTCAAAAGTAACAAAGCTGGTCATGGCAAATCCATCAATGATGTCCTCTTCGGCTGAGGTGGACTCTCTGCGCTTCCTCCGCGGGGGTCTGGGCCGGGACGGGGCGGAGGATGGGGGCTTTCCATTGTCTTCCTTGTCGGAGCCCGACGATGAAGCCAGCGAGGGAGCCCGGGTCCGGCCGGCTCCTCCACCACCCGCCGCACCGGCTCCTAACCCGGCCCGAGAGCGTCTCTCCCGGTCTCGCTGCGATCGCGACCTCCGCTTTTTCCGGAGTCCATGTCCCCGCGTCGGGCCATCCATGGTTCTTTTAACCGCGCCGGGGATCTTCCCCGTTCGCCTACCCGCGCGCCACAGGCTCGGGCCGCGGCCACACACACACACACACACACACACACACACTCACACTCACACTCACACACACACACGCGCGCGCACACGCACACACACACCCCAAGAAAAAAAAATTGACACCGAGCCCTCCCTCCTCTTGCACGGGCTTTTCCCTCCAGCCGCGAGGAAGGGCGCGGGGGAGAAGGAGGCTGGGAGGGAAAAAAAAGCTGAAGAAGAAGAACAAGAAGGGAGGGCAGGGGGGGGAGAAAGAAAAACGGGGGAAGGGGCGGGGAGACGGGGAGGGAGGGACGGGGAAGCAAGAGGGCGAAGTGTGGGGCTCCCCTCTGCACCGAGGGTCGGAGATGCCTGCAAACAGCGCCGAGCAAAGTAATGGCTGAACACACAGGTCTCCTTTACAGAGGAAAGGGGGGGGAAAAATAACTCACCAAGCAGGCAATAAATCAGAATAGCGGAATGCTTTGATCAAGAGACTGGGGAAGCCCTCCCCGCGGCCATGCTCTCTCCCCACCACCGAAATCGCCTTGCTTCTCGCCCTCTCTACAGATGCCCCCCACCACAATTGAAAAAAAAAAAAGAAGGAAACCCGAGGTCCGAAAGGTCACGGTGAAGTGAGGGGTGGGTGGCAATGAACTTCACCCGCCCCCTCCTGCAGGAAAACACCCCACACCTCCTCCTCTCTCACACACACACAAACGCCTCGCTGAAAAACTCACTCCCGGGCTCCCGATTTTTTTTTAAGAAATGTATCCAAGGGAAGCCAGGACTGGGGAGCGAGCCGAGAGGGGCGAGACCCCCCAGAGAGGGGAGCAGAACCATGCAAGCTCGAGCGGAGACAGAGGTTGGGGGGGGGAGGAAAGGAAGAAGGAGGAGGACGCAGTTGTGGGATTTTCCCCCCCTTTTTTTTCGGTCTTGGGGGGGGAGGAGAAAAGATGAAAGAAGAATTGCAAAGCCTGGCGCGTGCCACCGACCCCCTCCTCACATACACATGCACGCACGCACACACACACACACACAAATTGTAGGTTCCCCCCACCCCCAGTTCCAGAGGTCACCCTTCCTCCAAAAAAATTATAAAGGAGGGTGGGGGTGAGCCAGTCAATGAGGAAAGCGAAGAGCAATCTTCAACCCGAGGTACACCGGTGTGGTGCCGCCGCCGCCGCCTCTTCTTCTTCGCGTCGCCCCGCCTGAGGAAGAAGCGCTGGGAGATGCCGCTCGCTCGCTCGCCCTCTCGCTCGCTCGCAGCTAACGCTGCCACAGCCGCCGCCGCCAGAGCCCCGAGCCCGAGGGTGCACGGCGTGTCCCCGGGCGGCTGCAGCCAGAGCCCGGGCACGGCCTCATCCTCCGCCCGCCTCGCTCGCACAGCGCCCGCTCCTCCCCCTCCGGCCGGCCCACCGCCGCCGCCCGCCTCGGCCCAGCCCCGTGCCCGCCCGCTTGCGGTCTCGCTCTCTCTCTCTCCCTCTGTCTCCCCTCTCTCTCTCTCCCTCTCTCTCTCCTCTCTCGCACGCGCGCTCCAGCTCGAGCGCTCTGGAAGACCGCCCTCTTCGCGCCTCGCTCTGCGCGCGCTCCCGAGGTCCGCCCTCCTGGCCCTCCGCGCGCTCCCGAGGGCTGCCCCCCGTCCCCTCCCCTCCCGCCTCACTCGGCGCGCTCCCGAGGGCCGCCCCTTCCCCTTCGCCGGCTCCCGAGAAGCCCCCGCGCCTCGCTCCCCACCGCCCCGGGGCGCGCTCCCGAGGGCCGCCCCTTCCACTCATGCACCACCAGCTGCGCGCTCCCGAGAAGTGCCCCTCCCCCTCGCGCCTCGCTCGGCCTCCCAAGCGCGTTCCCGTCCCCCTCACTCCCGCGCGCCTCGGGCCCGGCTGGATCACGTGACCCGCGCGCGCGCCCCCCCACCCTCCCCTCCCATCCCCTCCCCTCCCCTAGTTGTAGAGTGTGCAGAAAGCAAAAAGGCTGAGGGGCTGGCCACCGCTCCACGAGCCCAGGGCATGCGCGCTGGGGTGGCCGGGCCTGCGCACTTGGGGGCGGAAGGGGTCTCCAGAGGCTGGGGGGGGGGTATGTGTGGAAGGGGGTCGGCCACCGGCCGGTGAGGAGTTGAAGTTCGAGGGCATGGAAGCTGCCCCAGCATCCCGCCAAACGCACGGAGGACGCTCGCGCGCACGCGTCCCGGGCACCCTTCTCCGGACACTTGCTCCTGGAGTCCCCTCGTCGCCTGCACTCCCGAAGCTCTTGCTGGTTTAACTACTCTGAAGTACCTCTAGGTGTTTTCCCTGCGCGCGCGCGCGCGCGCGCGCAGAGTGCAAAAAAGTGCGTGCAGCGCGACGAGGTGCATAAAGCTGGACACCCAAAGACGGTGCACCTTGGGGACGAACGGCAGGGGTTGCAAGATGGGCGACCCCGGGGCAGCGTCCAGGCGCACCGAGACAGCCAACAGAAAAGAGTTGGAAACTTTTCCCCGCCTGCGTGGTAGAACACTGCATGCCCGAGTGCCCCTGAACCCAAGTGTCCCCCTGTCTGCACCTTCCGTGTCCTTGCAGGGGACCTGCTAGCCGCTTCGGAGAAGCCAGAGACTGCATACTTGAACCTGGAGTAGAGAGGACTGAGAAGAGTCAGGCAGCCCCAGCCTTTGGACCCTTTGGACTCCAAACCGCAATCTCCATCGCTGCGGGCTTCATTTACTGTTTAGCTGCAGGAGGGTGGGGCGGAGGTGGCTTCCCCACGTTTTCCAGCGCAATGTAACTGATGCTTATAAAAAGTTGTATTAAAGAGCTGACTACAGCCCAGAATCGATCAACCAAAGCGACCGGCCTCTCTGGATAAAATAGCTGTGCGTTTTTCAGGGCACTGGAATTGATCTGTACTCACCGACAGTCTTCTCTCAGCAACCTCTTAGTCGCTTTGCATTCTGTCCAAGCACATAAACACGGTGGCACGTCACCCCTCACCCCTAGCAGCCCACACATGGCATGAAGGAAAAGAAAACAAACTGACATTAATTGCTCACAATGAGGCAGGCTCACCGTGCTACAATGCTTTGTACACGACTTCCACTGTTCAGGATCCCAGACTGCATATAACAGAACTGAAGGTCAGAGGCGGTGGAAGAGAAAAAGTAACGTTTCGAAAATGGATGGATGGATTTTTTTATTTCTTTAGAGCTTCACAGCTGTAGGTTTGAGGAATAAAGTGGCACCCCCAAACAGAAGTGCTTGGATCGTATTTTCTGGCAACTGAGTCTCTTTGTTCTGAACACTTCCAGATTTAGTAGTTGGTTTCTCATTACTTTGTTTTTAAGTCACACTCCAGCTTCCCCGTTTCAGGAACTGGGGCTGGGACTTTAACAAAAAGCAGAGCGGTGGATGTGGATGGTGGGCGACCGAAGGAGAGATCAAGTGGAGTGCCAATAAGGCAGGCTTTAAGTCTGTCCAGGGGAACAAACCATCTAACCTTAGGCAAGACTTTTAAATGACTAATTTTCTCATCTTGCGAATCAAAGAAGTTCAATCAAATGTTGAAAAAGTTCCCTTTTAAGTCTCCCAAGGCCTTCTCAAACACAAAGCATCTTTTTTGAAAAGATCTTGTGCTTTTTTTCCCCCCTTGAGAACAGTGATGTGTGATATCTAAATATATTAGGAACAGAGTGCCACCTTCCAAAATTACTTACATCCACTGACTGTTGCTGCCCCTGGAGCGGCCTGTGTTAACTTCTAGACTGCTGTTACCTGCAGCGGCTGGAACCCACAAAGAGCCTATCAAGCAAATTGCACCAAATAAAGGCAAGTTCCCTGTCAATCACAGCAAGGACCTGGGCTCCCTTTCAGGGTTCATTTCTATGAGGATGGTTCTAGTTTTCTTTTGTTGCTGTGAAAAACAACAACAACAACAAAACCTCTAAATGAAAACAACTTGAGGAGCAAAGGGTTTATTTAGCTTGCACTTCCAGGTCACATTCTGTCACGGAGGAGTCAGGCCAGGAAGCTGGCACAGAGACCATGGAGGAATGCTGCTTACTGGCTGGGTCTCTGGCACACTCTTGGTCTTCTAGCTTTGTTATACAACCCAAGATCACCTGCCCAGGGATGGCACCACCCACAGAGGGCTGGCCCTCCCACATCAATCAACAAGCACTTCCCCCACAGACTTGGCAATAGACCAGTCTCATCTGGGCAATCCCCAAGTTGAGAGTCTGGGCTGCATCAAGTTGACAGCCCAAACTAACTAGGACAGATGTAAAAGTTGTCTTCAAGACTGAGATCCTAGGAAACCAGGAACTAGCATTGCAAATAGAGTCACTTTTCACAAACTTTGGAGATTGGGTTGGGGAAAGTGTGAAATTGTCAGATATAATAAAAGGCATTATATTAGTGACTTTTCAGAGTAGCCCTCGGCAGTTATGTCTTTAAAGAGTAATGTCTAGTTGTGTGTAGGGGGGGTGGATCGTAATATACTGTATCCAAGAACCTTGCCTCTGGCAAGAGTAATTTGCAAACGCACTTTGGGATAATGTTTAAATGATTTTTTTTCAGGGTCCAAGTGTAGTGCTCACTAGAATTGGTAATGCCTTTTGGGGTCAGAATCTCATAGTAGTCTCCCATCAGAGAATTAAAATTACTTATGGGTTCTATTGCTCTTATTTGTCTCTGAATCTCCATCTCATCTGTTTTGATCACTAATGAATGATTAATAATACTGCATAATGAGCTAAGCAATTACTGTGCATGGCACTGTTCCAACAGCATTAAAAATAATATCTCAATTAATTCTCATAACTTTTATTTTGTGTATGAGTTTATATATGAGTGTGTGGGGGGGTATGTACACATGTGCATTCAGGTGTGCACTCTCCCGCATTCGTGGTGAGGCCAGAGGACACTGTCAGGTGTCCTGCTATGTCTCTCAGTCTCATTTCTTTGAGACAGACTCTCCCACAGAACTTGGGTTGAAGGTGACAGCCAGCAAGCCCCCAGCGATCCTCCATTCTCTATCCTCTGCGGGGCTGAGATTAAAGGTGGGCGTGACCGCATCCATCTTTTTCCAGAGACACTTGAGAATCTGGGTCCTCCTAATGCTTGCACGGTAAATGCCATTAATCACCAAGCCAGCTAGAGTCTCTGGCCCATTTTGTTGTTGTTGTTGACTTTACGAGAGATTTCACAATTCAGTATTTACTTTGCATGGAGTAAACTGAGGCTTCCTGTTCAACATCTTTTTCAAGGTGGAGTCACTCTAAAACCTGTCACAGGACAGAGCTGAATGTAAGAAGATTCTGTTAGGAGAACTGTACACAGTACCATCAGCATTCATGCACACCAATACTCTTTTCCTGCCCTTCGTGCTTACACTGGAAGGATTCGGCATGGTATCTTAGCTAGGGTTTTGACTGCTGTGATAAGTAAGCACCGAGACAAAAATCACTGAGAGAGGAAAGGGTTTGTTTCCTCTTACAGCTTGTTGCCAGTCATCCAGGGAAGTCGGGGCGGAAACCCGAGCCAAGAACTGATGCGGAGGCCATGGAGGGACTCTGCTCACTGGCTTGCTCCTCGGGGCTTTCTCAGCCTGATACGATAGAGAAAATGTCCGTGAATGGTATGTCTTCTCTGGTTCCAACCCAAGGAGTTGGAATTTCAATGAAAATTCTTGGTGTTGGAGAGATGGCCCCAACTTTTAAAAGTGCTCTTGCAGAAGACCTGGATTTGATTCCAAGCACCCATGTGGTGACTCACAAATGCCTACAACTCCTGTCCTGTGGGATTCAATGCCCGCTTCCAGCCTTATCTGCCCACAGGCACATACAGACACGGTGCACGCACATATGGACATGGAGGCATATAATTAAAAATAAACAAATCTTAAAAAGAAACACAGTGGGGATTCTGTTTTGGTTAGTGTTTTGAGACAGGGTCTCGCATGTCCCAGAGTAACCTCAAACGTTGCATGTGGCTGAGGACAACATTTAGTTTCCAACATGTACCAGCACCCCCAGATTTTTGTGCATTGCTGGGACTGGAACCCAGTGCTTTGATGCTCTGAGCTACTAAGCAGTTTACCAGCTGAGTTCCCCCCTGCCCCCGGGAGAATACTGTTATTACAGCTCAGCCACTTTCTGATCTCCAAGTCTTCCACTCACGAATACTAAGCTTGTTACCAGGTTTTCTACATTACTAAATTTTCACATTCCTCTACCTTGTTCTCTGTACTCTGCCAACACGGCAATTATTATCACATCATTCTTGATGTTATATCCCAGTATATAATGTTTGAATTTAATTTATTAGGAGAATTGATTTTTAACTCAAGGCAGCTAAGGTTTATGTTTTGGTCGTTTATAACTCTCCTTTACTTTGTGTGCATGTCTGCACAG